TCAGAAGAGGAGAATGGGATTTTGATTCTTCCACAAATGAGAGAAGAGATGGGCAGACATAGGATCTGTGTTGCCTTTGAGGCTTTGATCCCAGTGAAATTTCTATCAAATATAACAAAAGCCTTGGTAATACAAACAGAGATTATGAAATCCTCCACAAATGTGATCGTCATTTATGGTGACACTGAATTCCTGGTTAATTTCATGAGCTATTCGATGGATTTTCTTGTGTCAGGGAAAATCTTGGTCATGAACTCTCAGTACAATGTAACGGTCAAAAGGAGGTATGTCATGTTTGACACATTCCACACACCTTCTGACTTTTTTACACCACCATGAAGAAATCGCTGGATTCACCAGTTTTATGCAGTCAGTCAGTCCTTCCAAATATCCAGATGATGTTTACCTTGCTCAGTTGTGGTTCTGAATTTCAACTGCTCCGAGTCTGAGTCTGCCGGTGTGGACAGGGAGAGCTGTCCTCGCGAGGCCTCCCTGGCCTGGTTGCCTGGGCACCTTTTCGACATGGCCATGTCTGAAGAGAGTTTCAATGTCTACCAAGCCATGCATGCTGTGAGCCAGGCCCTCCACCCCCTGCTCCTTCACCAAACAGTCCTCCACCGGTGGGAAATGGGAAAAGAATGGTGTTCTCCCCTTCTCAGGTAACTTTCTAGGGGCGTTGCTTTCCTAGAGAAAATCTGTTTTACATCTCCATTTGTGCTTTGTGTTACAAATCACCCCGATATCCTCATTTTTTCACTGTTATAAGTTAATCTTTTTTCAATAAATTTCTTAATTCGGAACGCAGGATAGTTAGTTCTTTGTTATTTTTTTGGTTGGTTGTGGAGCTTGAATTCAGGGCCTGCACCCTGTCTCTGAGCTCCTTTGCTCAAGGCTAGGGTTCTATCATATGAGCCACGGCTCTACTTCCAGTTTTCTGGTTTTGTTGGACTTAGAGTCTCATAGACTTTCCTGGGATCCTGGCCTTCAGCCCCAATCCTTAGAGTAGCTAGGACTACAGGTGTAAGCCACTAGTGCCCAATGATAACTGTTTAATAACCAGTTTCCATGGAGCACATTTCCAACTTCATTTAAAACTCTGGTTTTGGAGTATTCCAAAAATTAATGGTGACAGCTAGCTTTAGCTAGGCTGGCCTGAGACCTGTGGTCTTTGTGAATAGTTAGGTGGGTGTGCTTCCTCCTGAATGTAGGTCTTCAATCCTCTCCTGAGTCACCAAGACTTAGAAACAGGAGGGCACGCTGTTTCTGTTCAGGTTTTCATTGATTCTGTTGCCCTGGCTGCTTGTGTTGCACTTGGACAAGGCTACTGGAGTAAGATGATGGGGCGTCCCCTCCTCCGGGTTATCTGATTCGTTGTGGGTCACCCTTCACCGTGAGCTGCATCTCTTTCAGCTGCAGCCCTTTCTGAAGAACCTCCACTTTGAGACTCCCACTGGAGACCACATCATTCTGGGTGATGAAAGGAAGCTCGAGGCCGAGTATGACATTGTGAATTTTCAGGATTTTCCAGAAGGTCTTGAACTAAAGGTAAAAGTGGGAAAGTTTTCTCCATATGGTGCACGTGGTCTACAGCTGTCGTTGTGTGAAGATGTGATCGAGTGGCCCCAGGCATTTACACAGGTGAGTACTTCTAATCAAGATGCTGGAACTCAGCCAGGTTTCTCCTGGATTTTATGCTGTTGTGCTCATTGCTCAGCAGTGTACATGTAGCAACGTCCAAGCAAACAAATTTTGTCATTAATTGAGTCTTGATGGGAAGCTTACTTACAAATGTATTTCTATATCTTCATGTGTTGCATATTGTACAATATAAATGACAGCTGAGTTCCTGAGCGAGCTCTCCCTGAGGCAAATCAATTTACACAGAGGAAAGGGTGAACTTACAAAGTCTGAAGGTTGATTTGCTCACAGGTGTGGGCGCTTTCGTCGTGGTTGTCTGGTCCTTGGCTCCATGTCTTTGGTGAGATAACACTATGGAAGGGTGTGTGCAGGGGAAGACCTCATTTCTAGTAGGGAAATAACAGCTATTGGCCTGAGGTAGCTATAACCACCAAAAGAGGAAATCGGTGCTTCAGGGTCTGCTTTTAAATGTTCTGGAATCTAGGGGCCATTTGCTGGAGCCTCTCAGGAGGTGTAGTGATAGAGGGTCCTGGGCCAAAGCAGCCCAGGCAGAAAAATCTGTGAGACTCCATCTTGTTGTGGCTCTAGTGGCAAAGGCCAGCCTTGAGCAAGAATGCCGAGCAAGCTTGAGGCCCTGAGTTCAAGCTCCAGTAGCACCAGATCATTAGATACATACATGCTTGCATGCATGCATGCATCCATCCATCCATCCATCCTTCCATCCATCCATCCATCCATCCATCCATCCATCGTTCATGTCCTTTCCTTATATATTTAGGGGGAGAAGGATAGACACTAATGATGACAAAAAGCAGCATGATAGGTTTGCTTCTAGAATCAACTTTCCCTCCTTCTGAAGCTTCCAAGATTTCCCCGGGAGCTCACACCTTAGGATTCGATGAAGATTTTAAGCCAAGAGCCCCCAGGGGCCACGTCATCTTCATCTGAGAAGAGAATCTAATGTGTAGATGTCTGTGGCTGCCACAACCAGGGGTAAGACAGTCCTGGGAGACCCGGCCAAAGAAATGATACATCAAGGGATGGAGGGAATCCAAAAGCTCCTTGTGCTTTGATCGCATGGCCTTCTGAACAAGTATTACAGTGGGAGGAGTGACCGCAGATTAGCGCAGAAACGAGGATATGGGTTCGTCTTGTGGTTACAGCCATTCCTAGGAGATACGATTTGCACACACAGGAGTAGTTGGCCCCTTCTTGTTGCAGTAACACATTCGAGGCCTGCGCCCCGCACCCCGCCGGCGGCGCCTGAGTCCCAGGCCCGCGCGATCGGCGCGCACCACGCACGCGCAGCCTCCCTGGGACCCCATGCGCAGGAGCCACGCCCCCCCGACTTCCGGCCCCGGCTCCCGGGCAGGCTCCATGTGGGGAGGGTGGCCGCTGGGCAGGGCGAAGGTCCCGCACAGGCGGGGAAGCGTTTCACCACTACCTGCACGGGCAGGCTGCCCCAGGGCCGAGGCTGGAACCTGGTCTTCCTGGGTGGGGCGCACGCCTATCACTCATCTGAGCTGTCCAATCAGAGGCCGGCAGCTGGAGCGGCTTCAAGTGCCGCCATTTTCGAAGCTCGGGCGCACGCAGCGTTGTGAGGAGCGTGTTCACGTGATTATCCCCCCCATCGGGAGCCTCGACACCCACTGCGGGACCCGAGGCCAGCGGAGAGGGTGAGCCCTGGGCGGGTGGTACGGGCCCCCCGGGGCACAGCGGGCCTCACCGCGGGCCGGGCGGTGCGGGCCGGGCGGGCAGGCGAGTGGGCCAATGGCATTCTAGAAGGAACTAGCCGGGAGCAGGGCCGCGCGGGCGTGGTCAGTGCCGCAGGGGCGGGTCCGTGGGGCGTGGTCACGAGCCAGGCCCGAGTGGAGGGGGCGTGGTCAGTGCCACGGTGGGGGGACGAGGTCATGGGGTGGAGCCCGCGGGAGGAGCATGGTCAGTGCCTCAGGGGCGGGGTCCTGGGGCAGGGCCCGCGCTGAGGGGCATGGTCAGTGCCGCGGGGTGGGTCCCGGGGGCGGGGCCCATGTGGAGGGCCGTGATCAGTGTTGCGGGGTGGGGTCCGAGGGGCGGGGCCGGCGGGGAGGGGCGTGGTCAGTGCCGCGGGGTAGGTCATGGGGGCGGGGCCCATGTGGAGGGGCGTGGTTAGTGTTCCGGGATCGGGTCCCAGGGGCGGGCCCCACGTGGAGAGGCGTGGTCAGTGCCTCGGGCCCGGGGTCCTGGGGTGGGGCCCGTGTGGAGGGGCGTGGTCAGTGCCGGGGGCGGGGCCCTGGGGCGGGGCCCGCGTGGAGGGGCTTGGTCGGTGCCGGGAGGCAGGGCCCTGCCTCTGGAGGGCTTCCTGACCATAGGCTGGCGGGAAAGGCGGCCAGCTAAGTGCTGGGTAAAGTCAGGGCAGTGGAGTCGGACATCACAGACCTGAAGGAGGGACAGAGCCTGAAGGGAATTTTCTTCTTTTCTGCCAGTCCTGGGGCTTGAGCTCAGGGCCCGGGCGCTGTCCCGGAGCTGCTTCTGCTCGAGGCTGGAGCTCTACCCCTTGAGCCACAGCTCCACTTCTGGCTTTTTGCTGTTAATTAGAACTAAGAGTTTCACAGACTGTCCTACCCAGGCTGGATCTGAAGCACGGTCCTCCGACCTCAGCCTTCTGAGAAGCGAGGATTACAGGGGTGAGCACCGGCTCCCAGCTGCATGGTGAATTACTCATGAGCAACTGATCCTCCGCTTGGGAACATGCGTCTCCTTGCCTCTGGTTTCCATGACATAGACCCTCAGAAAGGTGGGGTTTGGTCCAAGAAGTAGTTATCTGCCTGATGTGTGGCAGGGTCCCTGAGCTCTTCATTTCCCACGGATTCACAGGTGAGTGGGAGAGACAACCTGCATTCAACATCCTACAAAACCCTTCCATGAACACCTGCAGAGATGGATGGGGAAAGTTGGCTATCACCACGATGTCGCATGTGGTTAACGTGATCTGTGCAGAATCATGAGAGTTAATATGATATCATGAAAACAAACCAGAAACCCTGTGGAATACATTCTTAGCACAATAGAAATGAAGCAATGGTACATTACCAATACATGCTATAGTCATGTGTGAGGTATAAAGATGACAAGGCTGTGTGCTAGAGGCTCACACCTGTCAGCCTAGTTCCTCAGAAGGCTGAGATCTGAGGATTGCAGTTCAATGTTAACCCAGACGGGAAAGGCCATGAGACTCTTCTCTCCAATGAACCACCAGAAAAGTGGAAGTGGTAGGGGGTTAGCCTTGAGTAGAAAAGCCCAGGGACAAGGCCCAAGCCCTGAGTTCAAATCCCATGACCAAAAAAAAAAGGGAAGTACTGAATGGTACCTTATTGTCACCAGACATGGACCAGTGCACAAGATGTGCAGATCATCAGTACGCCAACGCTGAGAGAAGCCGCTGCCTGCTGAAAGCTGAGAGCTTCCTGGCTTATGAAGACCCCTTGGGCACGGCTCTGGCCTGCACCGCTCTTTGCTGCTCTGCACTTACAGCTGCTGTTCTAGGGATGTTTGTCAAGCACCAAGACACCCCCATTGTCAAGGCCAATAACTGAGCCCTCAGCTACCTCCTGCTCATCTCCCTCACCTGCTGCTTCCTCTGCTCCTTGCTCTTCCTGGGCCATCCCCACACAGCCACCTGCATCCTGCAGCACAGCACATTCGCAGTGGTCTTCACCGTGGCTGTGTCCACAGTCCTGGCCAAGACCCTCACTGTGGTTCTGGCCTTCACGCTCACGGCTCCGGGCAGAAGCACCCGGCAGTGGCTGGTGTCCCGGGCTCTGAACCTCCTCAGCCCCATCTGCACCCTCGTCCAGGTGACTCTCTGTGGCCTCTGGCTGGGGACCTCTCCTCCCTTCGTGGACACAGATGCACACTCTGAATACGGCCACGTCATCATTCTGTGCAACAAGGGCTCCCTCACCACCTTCTACTGTGTGCTGGGATACCTGGGCAGCCTGGCCCTGGCCAGCTTCACGGTGGCTTTCCTGGCCAGGAACCTGCCTGACACCTTCAATGAGGCCAAGTTCCTTAGCTTCAGCATGCTGCTGTTCTGCAGTGTGTGGCTCAGCTTCCTGCCTGTCCACCACAGTGCCAAGGGGAAGGCCATGGTGGCCGTCGAGGTCTTCTCCATCCTGGTCTCCAGTTTGGGCCTCCTGAGCTGCGTCTTTGCCCCTAAGTGGTATGTCATCCTGTTAAGGCCAGAGAGAAATTCTCTGCATGGACACAGGGATAGACCCCATTCTGGGAGAAACATAGGCTTAAAAACATAGGCTACCTAAAATTAATGAAGGGTCTTAGACAAATCTGTTCTGTTGCTCCAGACAGGTGTTTATACTATGGGATATCTTTGAACTTCTTTTCTCCAGTTGTGCTGTAGTCACTACAAATTGTAACCCACATTCCTGTAAGTTTGCATTGTATTCTAGGTAGTAGCTGTGCCTCTAATTTAAACTATGTCTAATCCTGCCAATCCCTTCCATGCATCTGTCTTGTCTTCTTTTGTCTTCCCCTTTGCTCTCTGTTATTTTTTCCTAAACGTTATCCTGATCAAATTCCTGTCTAAGCCTTAGTAGTGCTGAGTTCTTGAACTCACTGACATTTTTCTCCCTTAAAAAGTTCTGTCTTGCCTGGAGTCGGTGACTCATACCTGTTATCCCTGATACTCAGGAGGCTGAGATCTTAGGATCATGGTTCAAAGCCAGCCTGTTCAGGAAACTCTTTGACACTCCTATCTCCAGTTAACTATGAGAAAACCAGAAGTGGTGCTGTGGTTCAAGTGGTTGAGTGCTCGCCTTGAGCTGAAGAGCTCAGGACCAGCATCCAGGCACAGAGTTCAAACCCCACGACTAACAACAACAACAAACAGTTCTGTCTTGAATAAATGTGTTGACAATAGCATGTTTTGTTAGCTACTAGTGTATTTCTACTTACACATTTGCGTTTTGGAGTATTTTCTAGCCTATTTTTGCCAAATCTTTTTATAATAGGCCTTCAGACTTGAAGAATAGTACAATTAGCTGGTTATATGTAACCAGAGTATCTGTATGTAGCTGTCTGATATGCAGGATGGCCTAGGGAAAGTAAGGCAAAAACTAAAAGTGGACCCCAGCCTGTCACCATGCATTAACATCAACTCAAAATGCATTAAAGACCTTAACATCAAACCGGAAACTGAAACTACTGCACAGGCAGGAATTTCCTGAATAGAGTCCCAGGGTCATCATAAATTGGAGAGAGATTCGACAAATGGGACTACCTTAAAATAAAAAGTTTCTGCACAGCTAAAGACATAGCTACCAAAGTAGAAAGACAACCAACTAATTGAGAAAATATATTTACCAACAATATATCAGATAAGGGTCTAATATCCATTATATACAGACAACTCCAGAAACTAATCCCTCCCAAATCTATTAAACCAATCATTAAATAGGCAAAGGAGCTAAAGAGAGACTTCTCAGAAGAACAGATAAAAATGGCAAAGAAACACATGAGGAAATGTTCATCATCCCTAGCTGTAAAGGAAACGCAAATAAATACAACCTGTGATACCACCTTACCCAACTCAGAATAACCCATATCCTAAATTCAATCAATGACAAATACTGGAGGGGATGAGTTCATTGCTGGTGGGACAGCCAGTTTGGAAAGCAGTCTGGAGGGTACCTCAGAAAGCTAAATATAGACCTCCCCTGTGATCCAGCCATAGGCATCTACCTTGAGCAACAGGAACCAAGAAACAAGGACACATACACCTCTATGTTTATTGCAGCACTATTCACAATAGCCAAGACATGGAAACGGCCCAGATGCCCCACTCCAGATGAATGGATCCAAACACTGTGGTACCTATATATAATGGAATATTATGCAGCCATTAGAAAGGACAAAATAATGGCATTCATGGGGAAATGGATAGAACAGAGAAACAAATGGTCTCCCTGATATGTGCATGTTAAATACAAAATGCAAGTCGATTCCACAAAGTAGACAAGACTGAAGAAACAAAGGACCCCCATGCAATTTGTCATATCATCTCAAAATGACTCCATGTTCTTGACCACATATATGGTGTGTGTGTGTGTGTGCGCGCACAACTGAGGGAAGGTAGGTGGAGGGCACAGAAATATAGAAGATAGGGGCCCATCAACTGCACTGGACATAGATGAAAATGAGCTAAGCAACTCAAGGGCAGCAATGGGAGGGAGGGAATGAGAGGGAAAGAGGGAATAGCTTACACTAAGCAAAAGGAAAGAAATGTGCGTATCACCTGAGGTGGAAGAAATAGTTGTATTCTCAAAGCTTATAGAATTCACAAACATTATACACCATGATCATGACAATTTGTCTTGTGAAGTTTAAAATGTGCTTGTGACTTTAAGTGAAATTTGTGAAATGTATGTAATTAATCTCAATGAAAAATTATTTTTAAAAGGTTCACTGATATTTGACTTGGTTTGCGTTTGAACTATGACCCTCAGATCTCAGAATTCCTAAGTATCTAGGATTCTAGGAATCCTAGAATTTTTTGAGAGGAGTTTCTTGGAGATAATATTCTCAGATACATTCCTGCCTGGTTGGCTTCTAACTGACAGCCTCAGATTGCAGCCTCCTGAGTAGAATTACAGGCATGAGACACTAGTAGCAGACATATTTCTTTCCTGCTTTTTGTTTTGGATTTTTTGTGTGTGTACCTAGGTGGGCAGAAAGTGAATATTACTTATAGCAGTACATAGGAACATAATTGGCATTTTGAACACATATTTGATCAAATCTCAACCACAACAGCTTTAATTAATGAAAATTCTCATCCCCAAATATCTGGGAGAAGTAATAGTTTTCTGGCTTTAATGAGACATTATTTCGAAGGAAATGAAAGATAGGGTGACAGTGTGCAAACAGAAATGTAGTCATTACCTGAGTCATGCAACTGTAGTCCCTCTGTACATCACCTTAAGAAAAAAATAAAAATATAAAAGACTCACAGACTTCTTGCTAGACTGGCTTCTAACTTCCATCCTCTGATCTCAGCCTTTGACTAACAGATTGACCAACAGGATTGCAGGATCCCAGTGTGAAGCTTACTTTCTTTCTTTTTTTGGTATGCATGGGGGGCCAGGAAGTGAATATTTCTAGTAGAGCAAATAAAGTATGGCCTGCATTCTTAAAGCAAGTTTAATCAAATCTCAACTACTGTGGTTGAACTACTGAGAATCCTTATCCCAAAGATGTGAGAGACATAGAAATGGTTCTCTAGCCCTCAGTGGAGGCCATTTGGTATTTGGTGTTGAAATTTCCCCCTTATATTCCCCCAGAATATGATTTATGTATGTTTGATCTTGGTCTACTACCTGAGCCACAATTCCACTTCAGGGTTATTTGGAGTTTCAAGGGCTCTCCTGCCCAGGCTGGCTTTGAACTGTGATCCTTAGTTTTCAGACTTGCTGAGTAGGTAGGATTCTTGCCATGAACAATACTCTCATTCTTTAATGCCAAAAATGGTATCTTTCTACTCATGCTTTTCCATTCCATTACTGTGGGATAGTCCCACAATATAGACTTTTGTTTACAACTATTAAGACAAACGAGATAGTAACTGGGTGCAGGTAGCTCACACTTGTAATCCTACCTACTCAGGCTGAGATCTGAGGATCACAGTTCAAAGCCAGCTTGAGCAGGAAAGTCCATGAGACTCTTATCTCCAATAAACCACCAAAAAACCAGAAGTGATGCTGTGGCTCAAGTGGTAGAGTGCTTGCCTTGAGCTAAACAGCTGAGGGACAGTGCCCAGGCCCAGAGTTCGAGCCCCACAACTGACAAAAATGAAAGAAGAAAAACAAGATTGTTATCCAGATCACTCCAGGCTGAATTCACTCCAGACTCCTGATGTTGTGTGCACAAGACCTATGTAACCCCCCTGCCCCCAAGCACTCCGCAACTCCTGGATCTCCAGAGCTAAGGACTAAACCGCCTATCTCTTCCATGAACCCTGATGTTTGGAGGTTTTGCCCCCTGGAGAATGCATTTCTGTCCCTGCTTTCATTTCTGCTATTGAGAAGAGATTGCAGGAGAGAGCCACCATACAACATAGGCAGAGCAGAGAGGCCAGCAAGATCCTCTTCTCTGACCACACAAGAACCATCTGGTTCCAGCCTGTCGATCTGTAGTTGTTCTGGTAATGACAGAAGGTGATACAGATCTGGACCTTCTGGGTTATCTCCATGTCTCTCAATGCCTGTGCCAAGCCAGCCTAAACCTTGGGCTACCTCTAAGGTAGCTCCCCAGAGGGGCAGGATAGAGTCCTCATCTCAAATGGCCCAGCCTGGCCATGTGGCTCAGGAGGCTCTGCAGGGCAGACAGAGATGGGGTTTCTGTCAAAATGGAAGAATCTGAGCTGGGAGCACTGGCTCAGGCTGGCAGGATGGCTGAGAGATGGGCATCAGTGATGGCACAGTCCAAGATTGCAAGGGTGCCAGCTGGCTACTTAATTCAGGATGGCTTGCAGAGGCTCAAGAACAAGTATGTTCATGTATAAACTCCTTAAACAGGTGCTTGAGCATTGGGACAGGAACCAAATGTTGGCTTCCTTTAGCGGACATGAACTCAGAGACAAAGTCTTCAACAGCTTCAGGCTCTTGAGGATGGAGGGCAAGTTTTCATCAGGGAAGATGAAGTTCCTGGAGATATTGCAGGTGCTCCAGATATGCCCCAAATTTCCAGGAATATGAGAAATTCTTGGGACTAAATATGTTGAAGTAGCCACCTATCTTGGAGAAGTTAAGGATGCGGAGGTTCTTCATCTGCCCCAGGTAAAGGGCAAGTTTTCCCATAGTTTGTGGGTACCAAAATTCACTCACCCCTAGTTCCTGGATGGAGGTCTGTCTCACCACAAGCAGAGTCTGCTGGATTTCAGAGATGGAGCCACAGCGAATCTGGAGCTTCCTTAAGCACAACTAAACTCATTGTTTCCTCTTTCTGGCTGACACATGGGAGCACATAGGCATGCTGATCATCCTGGGTACCATCTTTGATGATCAGGATCATGGTGATCCTCAAGGGCTGTTCATCATTGCTCAACCACAGCTGTCTGTGGGATTATCAATGAGGACCTCTCGAGAAGAACTTTGGGCCATGGAGAGATATCCCTGTGTCCAGATCTCTTGAGTACTTGCAGTTTCCACTGACTAGGATGCTCCTTCTTGGCAAGTAGCAGATGGAGTCCATCCAGGACAGCATGGAAGGTTTCTAGATTTCTAGGAAGGATATCCTTGGGCAAGGATCACAGGGCTCAATACCTTTGGGTGTATTACTACACAATGACACTTGTTGAGGTGGTTGATGGTGGCACATTACAGTAATCCTAGCTACTCAGGTGGCTGAGATCTGAGAATCAGGTTCCAACCCAGCCAACCTGGGTAGAAACGTCCCCATGAGACTCTAATCCCCAATTAACCACTCAAAAACAAGAAGTGGTGCTGTGGCTCAAAGTGATAAAGAGCTAGCTTTGAGCAAAAAGAGCTCAGGGACACGGCCAGGTCCTTGAGTTCAAGTACAACAATGGAAAAAAACCAATGTGCTTCTTGAAATTAACTGCAAGAAATGGAATGTACCATTTGTAGTTCCCACCCTCTTTCATTTATTCCCTTTTGTCACTTTTTTATTCTGTACCCTTTGTCTTATTTATATTTTTCTGATTTGGGGAAGAGAAGAGGAAGTGGAGAAACAGTGGGACAAAGGGTGTCCTGATTCATCAGTGATATTAATCACACACTCTGTTGGAAATGAACTTTACACCTTAGGGGTGATGAAAGTGGGGGGGATTGGAAGGGAATGTAGAAGAGGGTGACACTGTGTAAAAGGAAATGTACTTATTTTCTGAATCATGGAAATGTAATCCCTCTGTACATCACCTTCACAATAAAATTTTAAAATATTAAAAGAACGAGTCTCCCAGACTTTCCTGCTAGACTGGCATGGAACTGCCGTCCTCTTATCTCAGCCTATTGAATAGCACAATTACAGGCAGGATCCACCAGATCTCAATGTGATCCTTCTTTTTATCTTTCTTTCTTTTAGAGTGACTGGGTGATCAGGAAGTGAATATTTCTTATAGCAGAACAAATGAATTGTGGCCTGCATTTTCAAGGTGCCTTTCATGAAATCTGAACTGGTATTAGATATTGACATTTGTCATCCCAAGTATGTGAGAGAAGCAGGAAGAGTTCTCTTGCTTTCATGGAATGTCTTTTGGCATTTGGTTTTGAATTTCTTCCCTAGCTTTTCTACAAAATTTGTTTTATGTATGTTTGAGGTTGGTCATGGAATTTTTTTGAATTTTTCTTTTGTTATATTTTGTTGTTCCACCTGTGGGGCTTGATCTCAGGGCCTGGGTACTGTCCCTGTGCTCCTGCTTAAAGCCATCACTCTTACCTGAGCCACAGCCCCACTTCTGGCTTTTTTGGAGGTTCACCTCAGATGAGAATCTAGAGGCCTTTCCTGCCCAAGCTGGTTTTGAACTGTAATCCTCAGATCTCAGACTTGCTAAGTAGCTAGAATTTCTGGGGGGGGGGGCGGATAATACTCTCATTCTATGGGGTCTTTCTACTTCCTATTTTCCTTTCTTTTACTTTAAAATAAATTGATTGGCTCATTATACATTAAATAGTATAGAGTGCTGGGCTGCCCCAGGTTTAAGAGGTTTACACATAATCATTTAGGAAAACAAGATCATGTTCCAATTCTTTCCAAGCTGAATTCTCTCCTGATTCCTGATGGTGTGTGCACAGAACACAAGCACCCATAAAAACTCAACAACACAGCCCAGCTTCTTTTGCAAATGTATAACGAACTGAACACAAAAGATTTCCCACCTAATTCCTCAAGACATTCCTACAGATGTCCCCCTGCCCTGAGCCTGCAAAGAACCTGAAAAGTACATCCAGCCCAACTTACAGCTTCCAACAAGATACCTGGAAATTCTATCTCTGCAGTTCTTTCCCTCCCTCTCTCCTTCCTTCACACCCAACTTTCCTTCACTCCATTCCTTCTTAGCTTTCCTCCTTCCCTCCCACCTTCCTTCAGTCCCTCCTGCCTGCATTCCCTCCTTCCCTTCACTCCCTTCCCTTTTACCTTCCTTTCTTCCTTCATTCCCTCCCTCCTTGATTCCTTCATACCTTCCTTCTTCCCTTCTTTCCTTACTTTGTCCTCTCTCCCTCAGTCACTGCCTTCTCTTCTGCCTGGCTGCCTTCTTCTCTTCCTTTCTTTTTTTATTGTGTGCTGAACTTGGACTTGCACTCAGGGCCTTGGGGGTATTCCAAGTTGCTTTATGTCAAGGCCAGTGCTCTACCAATTGAGCCACAACACTAATCACCCAATTGGTAAAAAACTTTCACCGATTTTTGGCCCAGACTGGGTTTTAACTGTGACCTCAGATCTCAAACTTTTTGAGTGCCTTTGATTCTAGGAATCCTAGAATATTTTTTTTTGTCGGTCGTGGGGCTTGAACTCTGGGCCTGGGCGTTGTCCCTCAGCTCTTCAGCTCAAGGAGAGCGCTCTACCACTTGAGCTACAGCGCCACTTCCCCTAGAATATTTTGTGAGGAGTTTCTTGGAGATAGTACTCTCAAATATATTCCTGCTTGGCTGGCTTCTACCTGAAACCCTAAGATATCAGACTCCTAAATAGGATTACTATCATGAGATGCTAGAAACGAATGCATTTTTTCTTCCTTTTGTGTGTGTGCATGTGTGCGTGTGTGTGTGTGCGCGTGTGCGTGCGTGCAGGCATGTACATGTGTGTTCCTCTGTGGGAATAAAGTGAATTTTCTCTTAGAAGTGCAAAAGAACTGTGGTTTGCATTATGAAGGCACATTTGATCAAATCTCAACCAATACAGATTTATCTATTGAAAATTCTTATCCTCAAATATGTTGGAGAATTAGAAAGAGTTCTCTTGATTTATAGAATGTCATTTGGTATTTGATATTCAATTTTTCCTCACACTTAATCCCCAGAATTTGATCTATGTTTATTGACCCATGTCATAAGTTTGTTTGTTTGTGCCAATGTTGGCACAATGCTCAATGCCAGCACTCTAGTACTTGAGCCACAGTTCCGCTTGTGGCTTTTTTGGAGATTCATTAGAGATGAGAATCTCAAGGACTTTCCTGCCCAAGCGGGCTTTGAACTGTGATCCTCAGATCTCAGATGTCCTGAGCAGCTATGCTTCTAGGTGGAAACAATACACTCATTTTTTGGTGCTGAGAAATGATATCTTTTTACTCATGTTTTTCTTTTCTTTTTATTTATGATTGATTGATACAGAAATTTATAGATAATAACAGATGTTCTCAAAGCTTAGATTGGCCCACAGCAAGATCTTGTTTCAGTTCTTTCCAGGCCTACTATACTCCAAATTTCTGAGAATGTGTGTACAGGGCACAAGGACCCAAAAGCACTCTTAAACTCCTGGGGCTTCAGAGTTATGTTTGACCTGAAAAACTAAGGACCAGATGCCCTGTGTCTCCCAGCCACATTGAACTTTGGAGTTTGCTAGGCCTGGAGAATGCACTACTTTTCAATCTTTCATTTCTGATGCTGAGAAGAAATTCCAGGAGAGATGGCCAAACTACACAGGCAGAGCAGAAAGCCCAGGAAGATCTTCCTCTGTGACCACCCAGGAACCATCAGGTGCCATGCTGTAGGACTGGCACTTGTTTCGGTGATGACAGAAACGTGTACAGATCTGGACCTTCTGGTTTGTCCTGATATGTCTTAATACCTGTGCCAAGCCAGCCCGAACATTGGCAAATCTCTCATGGTCAATGTACCTTTGCCTCCACTCTTGTGGGCGGTAGCTCTCCAGAGGGGCAGGATAGAGCCCTCGTCTCAAATGGCCCAGCCTGGCCATGTGGCTCAGGAGGTTCTTCAGGGTGGCCATGGAGATGTGATTTCCATAGAAACTGAAGAGGCTAAGCTGAGAGCATTGGCTCAGGATGGGCAAGATGGCTGAGAGCTGGGCGTCATTGATGGCACAGTCTTCCAGGGCCAGGGTCTCCAGGGTTCCCACCACTCTGCCCAACAAGGCTTTCAGGGGCTCAGAACTGAATGACTCCATGGGCAATCTCCTCAGACGCAGGTGCTTGAGCTGCCTGGAGCAGGGTCACTGGGACAGAAACCTCAGGTCCGCTTCCTTCAGCAGACATGAACTCAGAGACAAGGTCTTCAAAGGTGGCAGGCTCCTGATGATGGCGGGTATATTTGCATTAAGCAAGACAATGTGATGCACATGAAGCTCCTGAAGATGCTGCAGCTGCCCTAGATGCTCCCCTATCATCCAGGGATACCATAAATTCTCGTGAGGGTGACTGTAGAAGTCGCCACCCATGTTGCAGAAGTTGAGGATGTGAAGGTTCTTCATTCGACCCAAGTAAGGAGCAAGTTCTTTCATAATTCCTGGATGCCCAAATTCACTCACCACCAGTTCCTGGATGGAGTCCAGCCTCACCACAAGCAGAGCCTTCTGGATTTCAGAGAAGGAGTCAGACAGAATCTGCAGCTTCCTGGAGTAGAGCTGGACTTGTTCTCTCCTCTCCCTGACCCACTGGAGCAGGTGGGCTTGGAGAGCGTCCTGGACGCCATCTTTGATGGTCAGGTCCATGGCTATGGTCAAGGGAGGCTCTTCAGTCATCCCTGAGCAGTGGCTCTCTCTTGGCTTGTCAGTCAGGACATCCGGACGAGATAGTCTGGCCATGGAGAGGTAGCCCTGTATCCAGATGTTGGGGTGCTCCTTCTGCAGGTCGAGGACTTGCAGTTTCCACCGACTGGGGCGCTCCTTCTTGGCCAGTAGCAGATCGAGCCCATCCAGGACAGCCTTGAAGGTTTCCCGGTCTGTAGACTCTGCCAGGTCCCCCAGGGGGAGGCAGGAGAAGGGCCAGGCCTGCACCAGGGCCTTCAGCGACTGTGTGTGGCCCTGAGCGTAGACCTCCATGAACAGCGAAGGGAACAGCAGCAGAGGCAGATCTTCCAGGGCAGAGATGGCCAGGGCCTGGTCGCTCAGCAGAATCTGCATGGCCAGATGCTGGAGTGAGGGAGGGGCTCCAGTGCTCATCTTGATGGACCAGATGTGGGCCAGGTGTGCAGGGCTCTCTGAATCACAGCAAGTTGAGGCACTGACTGCAGGATTCAGAACTCTGATTCTGTTCTCCATCCCTGGGCATCATTAAAGCCCAATCCCCTACCCTCCCTATTCCATATCTGCCAATCAGAGAGCAGCTTCTGATGGGATTTCTGAGTCACACCCAGCACACCTTGGTTGGGTGTTTCACTTGAGATCAATTCAAACACTGGTTTTAACCAAAAAATGATAGGATTAAAGGCCTGTCCCACACAGCCTAGCTTTTCTTTGAAATGTAAGTCACACTTTAACAAAATGACTTCCCACTCTTATACTTTAATCCCCCCAGACTTTCCCACAGATGTTGCACGGCCCTGAGCTACAAAGCATGCAAGGAGAGAAGTCACCCAAAGTTATAACATCCACAAGACATCGGGAAATAGTTCTCTGGATTTCTTTCCCTCTTTCCTTCCCTTCCTACCTTCCTTGCTTCCTTCCTCTTCTCTTTCCTTCCTCTCATGTTTCTTTTTGTACCCATTCTAGAACTTTAACTCTGGGCCTGGGTGTTGTTCCTTATCTTTTCTTTGTCAAATGTAGTGCTTTACCACTTGAGTCATAACAGTACTTCTCCCTTTTCTAAGCAGTTGATTGGAAACAATAGTCTTCTGGCAGAGAAATCCCTGTTTAGCAGAGAACCATAGTATAAAAAGACAAGTCATGGCCCCCCAAAACATGGATAAATGGCAGAAATTACCAAACACTTCTCAATCCTAACTATTCATATTCATGGACTTTATCAATTAAATGACATAGATTGACTAGGTGGATCAGACAGCAAGACCCATTTATCTTCTGTTATCAACAGGCACACATTGCCCAAAGAATCAAACAGATTCTGAATGTGAAAGGCTGGAATAAAAATCTATCAAGCAGCAGGGCGCTGGTGGCTCACCCCTGTAATCTTAGGTACTCAGGAGGCTGAGATCTGAGGATCGCGGTTCAAAGCCAGCCCAAGCAAGAGAGACCGTGAGACTCCTATCTCCAATAAAACACCAGAAAACCGGAAGTGGCACTGTAGCTCAAGTGGTAGAGCACTCGCCTTGAGCTGAAGAGCTGAAGGACAGCGCCCAGGCCCAGAGTTCAAGACCCAATACTGACCAAAAAAAAAAATCTATCAAGCAAAGAGCCCCATAAACGGGCCAGAACAACAAAACCAATGGCAGATAAAACAGAACTCAAATTAAAATTACTGAGAGGAGATCTTTCCTACAGGAGGACATAACAATTCTAAATATCTATACACCAAATGCCAGAGCATCCATTTTCATCAAACAGATACTACCTCCCCTAAAACACAGGACTGTCAAACAACAAAACAACAACAACAACAACAAAAAACACAAACAAGATTGAAGCTGGGCACCGGTGGCTCACACCTGTCATTCTTACTACTCAGGAGTCTGAGATCTGAGGATTATGGTTCAAAGCCATCTGGGCAGGAAAGTCCGTGAGACTCTGATCTCCAGTAAAACACTCAGAAAACCAGAAGTGGCGCAGTGGCTCAAGTGGTAGAATGCTAGCCTTTTGCTGAAGAGCTGAGGGACTGCGCCCAGGCCCAGAGTTCAAGACCCATGACGCACACACACAAAAAAAGGGGGAAAAAGATTGTATTCCAGTTCTTTCCAACTTGAATTGACTCCAAATTCCTGATGATATGTGAGCAGGACACATTTACCCCAAAAGTCGTCAGAAACTCCTAGGGCTCCAGAGCTATGATTGAACTGAAAAGTTCAGGACAAGACACCCTGTCTCTTCCAACCACACTGAATGTTTCGGTTTGGGTCCCTTAGAGAATGCTCTTGTGTCATAGCTTTCATTTCTGATTCTGAGAAGAGAGTCCAGGAGAGAGGCCCCCTCCTACACAGGCAGAGCAGAAAGGGCAGAAAGACCTCCTCTGTGACCAGCCAGGAACATCAGGCCCCATGCTATAGAACTGGCACTTATTCTGGCAATGACAGAAATTGGTACAGATCTGGGCCTTCTGGGTTGTCCCACTGTCTCACCATGCCTGTGCCAAGCCAGCCTGAACCTGAACTAAACTGTCAGGATGCATATTCCTCTCCAGAGAGGCAGTATAGGCCCAGCCTGGCTGTATGGCTCAAGAGGTACTGCAGGGTGGCCATGGAGATGGGGTTTCCATAGAAACTGAAGAAGCTGAGTGGGAAGCACTGGCCCAGGGTGGGCAGGATGACAGAGAGCCTGTCATCAGTGATATAACAGTGCTCCAGAGCTAGGGTTTCCAGGGAGCCAGCTACTTGCTCCAGCAGGGCTCACAGGGGTTCAGGACTGAAGAAGTCCATGGGAAATTCCCTCAGATACAGGTGCTAGAGTTGGCTTGTGCAGGGATACTGAGACAGAGATGAAAGGTCAGCTTCCTCCAGTGGACATGAACTCAGAGACATGAACTCAAGCCTCAGGCTACTGAGGATGGCTGGCAGATTTCGATCAAAGATGACATCATACACATGAAACCCCTGGAGATGCTGCAGCTGCCACAGTACATGGCCTGAATTTGTACTAATATCACTAATTCATGGGACTGGAAGTATAGAAGTTGTCAGCAATCTTAAAGAAGCTGAGAAGGTGAAGATTCTTCATCTGGCCAAGGTAAGAAGCAAATTTTTCATGGTTCCTGGATGCCAGAATTCAGTCACCACTAGTTCCTGGATGAAGTGAGCCTGACCACAAGCAGAGCCTTCTGGATTTCAGAGTTGGAGTCATACTATCTGCAGCTTCCTTGGGCACAGCTGAACTTGTTCTTGCCTCTCCCTGGCCCACTGGAGCAGGTAGGCTTGGATATCATCTTGGGCACCATCTTTGATGGTCAGGTCCAGGGTGATCACCAAGATGTGCCCTTCAGTCATCACTGTGCAGCGACTAGCTATTGAGTTGTCAGTCCCTTAGCTTTCTTTCTCCCAATGCTAGTGATTTAAGATATGTGCAACAACTCCACTTTTAGGTTTTTGGTACTTCAGTGGAGATAAAGAGTTTCACAGACTTTTCTGCATGAATGGTGAAACTATAATCCCTCCATTCATCAACTTCACAGTAAAAAAAATTAAGAGTCTCACAGAATTTCCTGCCAGCCTGGTTGTGAACTGCCATCCTATGGTCTCAGCCTGTTGAGTAGTAGTGTTGAAAGCTTGAGTTACAGAATCTCAGTGTGAACCTGTGTGTGTGTGTGTGTGTGTGTGTGTGTATAGAAGAGAAAATGAAGTGTGACTTGTATTCCAAGGGTGTTTTTGATCAAATCTGAACTGGCTTTGTACTGAGATTTGTCATTCCAAATATTTTGGTGAAGCAGAAAGAGTTTTCTTTCTTTCATGGGATGTATTTGGCATTTGGTTTTGAATTTTTTTCTGAACTTTTTCTCCAAAAATTCATCTATGTATGTTTGATGTTGGTCATGGGTTTTGTCCTGTTTGTTTTATTATATATTATCTAGCTGTGGTGCTTGAACTCAGGTCCTGGGAGCTGTCCATTAGCTTTCCACTCCAAGCCAGGACTCTACTATTTGAGCCACAGCTCCACTTCTGGCTTTTATGGAGGTTCACCGGAGTTGAGAGCCTCAAGGACTTTCCTGTCAAGCTGGCATTGAACTGTTATCCTCAGAGATCAGACTTGAGGAGCTAGGTAGGATTCTAGGTGAGAATAATACTCTCATAATATGGTCTTATTTCCCCTTCATTTCAAAATAAATTGACTGGTTCATTTATAAATTGGAGACAGTCAGGGATTGCCCTGGGATTTGGGTGTTTGCACACAGTTCTTTAGAAAAACAAGATTGTGTTCCTGTTCTTTCCAGGCTGAATTCACTCTAGATTTCTGATGGTATATGCACAGGACACATGTACCCCCAAAGCCTCATTGACACTGCCTGGCTTCTCTTTCAAATGTATAACAAACTGAATATAAAAGTTCTCCCACCCATGTACCCTAAATCTTCAATTCCTACAGAGGTCCCACTGCCCTGAGCCTACAAAGGACCCAAGAAGAGCAGCCAGTCCAACTTACAGCATCCAACAGCATCTATCTCTGCCTCCCTCCCTCCTATCCTCCCTTTTTCTTTCTTTCCCTCTTTCCTTCCTTCCTTCCCTCCCTCCTTCCTTTCTGCCTTCCTGCCTTCCTCCCTCCTTCCCTTTCTTCCTCCCTCCTTCCCTTCTCTCCTTTCTAGCTGAATTCTTCCTATCCTTTCTTCCCTCCTCTCTTTTTTATTTTGTACTGAACTGTGACTTGAACTCGGGGTCCTGGGCTGTACCTGAAATGCTTTATATCAACCAGTGCTCTACCACTTGAGTCACAACACTCATTACTGAATTCAAAAAACTCACCAATTTTTGGCCCAGTTTGGATTTGAACTGAGACCACCAGATCATAGACTTCTTGAATACCTAGGATTCTAGGAATTCTGGAATTTTCATGAGAATTTGGCTGGCATCTAACTGAGATCCTCAGATATCATACTCCTGAATAGAGTAAGAGGCATGAGACACTAGACCTTGGAGTACCTTTTTGTTCTTTTTGTTTTGGATTTCTTTGGTGTGCCTGTGTGGGCACAAAGTGAATATTTCTTATAGAAGAGCAAAGGAACTGTGGTTTGCATTTGAAGACACATTTGATCAAATATCAACCATTATAGCATTAATTACAAAAAATTCTCACCCCCAAATATGTTGGAGAAGTAGAAACTTCTCTTGGATTTCATGGATGTCATTTGGTATTTGATGTTTAATTTTCCCTCAGACCTTTTCCCCAGAAATTGGTCTATGTGTGACTGACCTTGGTCATAGGTGGGTATGTTAGTTTGTGCCAATTCTGGCACATAGGTGCTGTCCCTAATTTTTGTGCTCAATGTCAGCACTCTACTACTTAACCCATTTCTGGGTTATTTGGAGGTTTGCTAGAGTTGAGAGTCTCAAGGACTTTCCTGCCCACGGTAGCTTTGAACTGTGATCCACAGATCTCAGACTTGCTGAGTAACTAGGAATCTAGCCACAAACAATACTCTCATTCTATGGTGCCGCAAAATGATC